GCTCAAGATAGCATTCATACAACTTTTGTGAGATTCTTCTTAAGTTAACTTTGTTTAACTACCCCAATGATCTTTATTTTTTTTCTTCTTAAACTAGAAAAATCTTTCTTCCCCCAAACATGAGGTAATGTTATTGTAAGACACATCAAATTATTAGAAAATGCTACAATCCCGTTACAGAACCATTTCGTTGGGATTTGTAACTGTTAGATCATCAAATAACCGTCAATGATAGTTGATCTAACGGTTACAAATCCTAACAAAATGGTTCCGAGATTGTAGCCTTACCCCAAATTATTAGGCAGTTCATTTTTTTTTAATCAAATATACATATTTCCCAAATATGATAATTTAAAAACAAAAATGTATGATATATTATATATTATATAAAATATCTATCTATATATATTCAAAAGAATAATAGATCAACATAGTTTAACAACAAATTCATGTTGTAAATTACAATAATGCATTTATCTACTAATAATTACACTTCATAGTACAGTAAAATTGTGATATACTCCCTCCATTTTGAAATATAAGGCGTATAAAGATTTTTCATTTTTTTTGAAATATAAGGCGCGCTCAAAAATCAAGACAAATTTTTGCATTTTTTTCCAAATATACCCTCATTGTGTTGAAATTAAGGAAGTGTGGAGTGATTGTGATTAGAGTAAATAAGATTAATTTAGTCAATTTATTCATTAATTAATGCCTCTTTAATATTTATGCAATAACCTTAAATGCCTTATATTTCGAAATGAAGGGAGTAGATGTTAAGACGCATATACATTTTTTATAAAGAAATCGTAGAATAATTGTATGTTTTTATTTATATTTTTAAAATAACATTAATAGAAGTATGACATATGTTATGAAATTTTTTTTTATAAATGATTAGTCGATTCCACACAAAAATCGAAAATTTTGATTCGCCTAAAATGGTGGGGGAGCGTGGGCGTGGCTATAAAGACCCTGCAAAACAACAGTGAGCTAATTTCTCCCTTTTATTTTGTTGCCCCTACTTTTTTTTTCTCCAAAACGAAAATAAAATTAAAATCCAAATAATTGAAGAGATGGGAAATTGCCAAGCCATAGACAACGCAAGCATAGTCATCCAACACCCAAACGCCGCCAAAATCGAGCGGCTCTACGGCCCAACCACCGCCGCCGACGTCATGAAGGCCAACCCCGGCCACCACGTCGCCCTCCTCCTCACCACCACCACCGTCTACTCTTCCTCCTCCGCCGCCGGCGGAGAGAACAGAACCGCCCCTCTTCGGGTCACGCGGATAAAGCTCCTCCGGCCGGCCGACGCTCTTGTTCTTGGCCATGTCTACAGGCTTGTCACCACCCAAGGTCCGGTCTTTTTTTCGGGATATTGCAGGAAAACCCCTCGAGTTTGGTATTATTGTAAAGGGGGACTCTGGATTTGTGCTCTGTGTTGTATGTTTTACCTGCTTGGTTGAAAAAAAATCTGATCTTGATGAACTTTTATTTTGCACTTTTTTTTTTTCTTTTNGTGAAAATTAATCAAAAAAAAAAAACTATTTATTCTTGTATATTTCATTAACTCATATATTATTGTTTTGGTTTTGGACAATTAGATTTTATGTTTTTACCCTTACATTGTTGAGAACTTGTGAATTTAGATGCCCATATCTGATTTTAATTTTCTTAATAAATTACAATGATGCCATGTACTACTGAGTTGGATTTTAGAATCTTGAGATCTTCAAATCCATGCTTGAGTTGTTCATCCCATCAATTATTATTATTATTATTCTATATTTCTAATTAAAAGTGGAAAATACAGTACCAAAAAACAGTTCAACAAATCCATTAACAAATACTTTAACATGTACTGAAAGTCTGAAAGCATTGTCCTTTTTTCCCCTTATTTTTTCTTTTGAGCTTATCGAGTTCTACTCTAAATTAATACCAATGATCCATTTGCAAATTATTACTAAAAGTCTACTATTTGGCTGTTGTCTGATCCATAATATTTTTATAACAAAATTCATACTTATGCTGTGTGAAATGTCATAATTTTCTTTATGTTATTTTTTAAAATATGACATTTTAATTTGGAAGTATACACACTTGTTGAAAACATATGACTGCCTAATCGTAATGACAGCCCAACATAGCCTTCTTGTTTGCATACATACATAGTACATAGATTTTCAAGATATACATATTATTTAAGGTCATACAGCTAATGTCACCAAAAATAATTTATCTGATCTCAATATATTTTTAATTATAGTCCAAAAATAATTTGTCTGATCTTAATATATTTGTAATTATAGTTTTGTATTTATGTTGTCAGGTAAAACAGGAAAGGCACAGGTCAAGAAATAACACACCATCAAAGTCCAGGTCATGGCAACCTGCATTAAAGAGCATCTCTGAGGCTGCAATTTGATATTTCTTCATTTTTTTTTTCTTGCCTGTTTTTAGGTTTAATTCTGGAAAATAGTTGACATAGTTGTGAGAGGAAAATTGGAAAAAAAAAAAGAGAAGAGAAAAAGGGCAAATATGAAAAATGGGAATACTCAGAAACTGTGAAGGGCATGTTATGCAAACAAGAGTTGCTCATAAATGCACATTCTCTCTTCGTATCATTCACAACGTGTGAATTTTCGAATCTATAATCGGGTTGATTTATCGTACATATTTTTATTTATGTTGTATAAAGTGTGACATTTCAATTTAAAAAATGCATATATCTGCTGAAAAAGTATGACCAACAAATCGTTGGATCACATATTCTTAAAATTATCATACTTTACCTTACTAATATTAACTTACAATAATTCAACAAATATGGCATTTTGACCATTATTGGCCTCCCAAAGAAAGAAAAAATAAGTCGTACTCTCAATTTACAAAATCAATTGATGAGCTGGTCAAAGCAAACGTCGTATACTAATATATATATACAATAATAATAACGAAAGTTGTGCCTCTATTGAATTTCTTAATTAATTAGTTAAGCTAGTATGATAGACACTGATAACAACCCGTTGAATTATGCTTTAATTGGGTCCTAAGAAAGGGCAATAAGAAGAGAGAGCCAATAATATTTTGTATTTTTATGCTCAAAATAGGCTCGGTCAAAGATGATGTGATATATATATATAAAAAAAATTTCAAAAGCACTACATTTAAATAGAAAATATGATATTAATTTTCTTACTCTTTTATTTTTGGGATAACAACATTGGAAAAGCAGACAGCATTGAAGATGAAGTAATTAGAGAATAGGAGGTGTTTAATGACATATATGATTAGTGATAGGGTCATAGGGTCACCATGTGAATATTTTAAAAAACCCCGTGATATGTTTAATGGGCCGGTTCGACCCGTGGTTAGCGGGCTTTAAACCGGGCCTATAAAGCTGGTTCTGAGCCACATATTATTCGGCCATTTTTTGAATTGTTTCTTATCTTTTAATTATTATTTTTTTTGTATGAACAGGGCGAACTGGAACTAGTGGTTCAACAAACCGATCCATGCATATGTTTGAGCCGACTCATAACCTACAACCCTTGGCCATGTCTAGATTTGTATACAAACTACTTAGACCATCTCCAATCTCTGCTCTACTCGAGTTTACTCTATTCTAGAGTACAGTACGCTAAAATTTAACTTTTATATTCAGTCGTTCGCACTACATTTCACTTTACATGAAATATACTGGTACAAAAAAATCTAATACAACTATAAAATCAAAATTTATTCTTGAATCAATATATATTCTTCTGCATTTCATTAAGAGAGTAAAAAATAAAATAATTTATTTTAAAGGCAACTCTTTAAAACCACACAAATAATTACAATTTTAATTTTAATATTTTTGAGCTAATTCATCAAGAATGATACCTCAAAATTACAATTACATTTTATGCAATTAATTAATGACCAAACTTTTAAAAATGATACCATTGCTTAATTTATATTACTAATATTATATATTACATACGTATAACTTATAATTAATTTTTCGTATATGTGCATGTGCACATAAATCGAGTATAAACACAAGCTCATACTCCAAGGTACATTGCAAGGAAATTTACCAACCTAACCATTAGTGGGAAACATATTTTTTTTATAAATACATATATTTTCATTATTAAATGCCACTTTAAAAAAATAACATAAATAAAAGTATGATATTTGATAACATAAGACTACATTTTTGTTTGTATAACATATTAGACTCTCTTATACATACATATACTATAATTACAAATAGAACATGTCATTCTTGAAAATTACTACTAGCATCTATGACATTAATGGTGGGGTTATCCATGAGGTAATTAGTACAAACTTAAAAATAAAAGGACGAATTTTATTTTATTTAGTTATTTTGAGTGAGAGGATTAATGCGATTCGTGGAGAGTGGTCAAAGAAATTAAATGCACGTCTTGTTGAAGGTTTTCCACAAGTTGGTAAAAGAGTAATTAATAAACAAGACGTGATGGTTTTCCACAATTTGGTAAGAGTAATTAATAAACAATGAACGTTGGGACAAATATTTATGACAAATTGAAGAGTATACGTAAAGCAAAACAAGAATCAATTATAACACAATTGGGACATGTGTACGTACATAACATACTCCCTTTTATTTTTAATAAATGTCATTTTGAAAAATTGCACAATAATTAAAAACATTTTTTTTATCAATAATAACCCTCGTTAATAACAATAGAGATTGATGTTTTAAGAAAAGATAGAGAGTGAATATGAAAAGACATAGTGTATTTATTAATTAAATGAGAGTAATAATAGAAAAACATGTACAAAATAGCCAAAACAACATTATTTAACAAATGATCAATTAAGCTAGGATGACAAATAATAAAAATAGGAGAGAATAATTTATAGGCTACGGTCTAAAAAGTAGGGATTCATATATAATTTTTCAATAGTTGTTGGTACTTTTAAATAAAAATGTCATATATTAGAAAGCAGTATAAACAAAAATATAATATTTCATAACATTTGTATGTATTTTTTAAACAAATATATAGTAGGTCGACCCATTTAAAGTATATTGATATACTAATCTAATATGGTGCGCTAAATTAAATAAATCATAAAATAACTGTCACTTGCAATCGAATTATTGCAGGCAAGGGCAAGACGTTGTAAAACTTTTTTTTTTTTTTTTACTATTTT